TCATGGCTTTGTTTACTGTCCTAGGGCTATCTAGTTTTTAGTTTATATTAGAAGTTCCTTGGGGCAAAGAACTGACATTTTGAGCAGTTTGTAAATGATGAAGCATTAGATGTTAGAGCACACAAGATTTGGCTCCAAATTAAGATTTTGTGCTAATGTTCTTACCACATGCGTGCTTAGCTGTCATTCCTTTTAATAAACCTTAATAACAAAAGGAAGGTCTAAAAATAGCATTTCTAGAAAAAGTGATATCCTGACCATTGAGGTTTCTTTAGCTACAAAATTATTGCAGCATAGACACCAACAGCACAGGATTTCTTAAAGTGTTGGTGTGGATTATAGCACCTTCTCTGGTAAGGAATACAAAGCAGTCAAAAGTGACTTAAAACCCATATCACATAATAGATATCGGATAATCCAAATTAATCCTGCTGTTGATTCCTGATCAGTTGTCATCAGAGGATGGCCTGCCTTTCCTAACACTGGTCTTTCTACGCTGCTGCCAAGGTCTTCTAAAGACAATGTTATGGATGCTGTCCATCCTGCACTGGAACTGACTTCCAGAAATGAGGTTCTATCATGCCGGGCAGTGCTACTTCAGATGATAATTCTGTGCTGTGGTGTGATGTCATATCTTTGGTGGACCTTCTCTTCTTACCTCATCAATCACCCTGTAATGAGGCATATACTATAAAAAGTAAGGAGAGACAAGAAAGAAAGAATTTCATTATTCCATTTTGTTCTTAAAAGACATTTATTCTTTAACTTCATTTTGATGCCTCTGTGAAAGGAATTAAATAGACATGTCATGAGAGCACCAGTTGCCATAGACAACTGAAAGAGAGATTGGAGATGGAGAGAAATTGCAGCAAGCATACTCAGGTCACATAGTAAACGAGCATTGGGATCCGTAGTCACCATTGCTAGATCAGTTGGCGTATATGTTGTGGCATCACTCCTAGCAGCTAAAATCCATCTATGAAATCTATTTTGCTGAAATTTTATGCAATTTCTTAATGTGAACTAATATTTTGGAGCACAGTTTCTAAAGCAAGTTTGTAGCCTCAAGTCAGACACCAGATTCCCTTACCAAAACCCATCATGTTCTCATTCACAGTCCTCTGGCTGCCTTCTCTGTAGCTCTTATGTGATGATGGAGTCTGAGTAAACATTAGTTGGAGGGCCAGCTGTCAACAGCTGTGAGCACTGTCCCCTCTGTCCTCTAAGCATCAGTGTTACAATCGGCTCTCTTTAGTCCTGGGTTCTTCACAGTGAACTGCTCTCCTAGTGAAGGAAAAAAAAAAAAGCTCTTTTAGTTATCAGCACACTTAGTGTGCTACAGAACAATTTTTGTTTCTGATACAATGATACTACCCTGACTTTATTTTCTGTTTTGGGTTGGCAATTGTGGAGAAGCTCAAAAGTTTCATACGTTGAAATTATCATAAAACAGTTCAGCCCTGGCATATCTACATTGTATGTAATTATAGTTGTATACAGTAAACAACATCAGCAGTGCTGCTATGCTTCAGTGAAACAGGGGGGTCTGGCAATTTGATGTTTAGGAGGATGTGGTTAGCCAAGGATTTTTCACGTTTCTGTTCCACGCATTCCAAAGGCGGCTGCAGAGATCACAACATCCAGGTCTAAACATGGAAATCGGTTTCCTATAATCAGTTGTCTGAGGGCTTTATCGGGGGTGAGAGTAATATTACATTTTCCTTAAACAAAAACTTAAAAAGCAACAAATCAGTTTCACAAATCAGTTTAAACTGTATTTACCCCAGCTTATCACCACAGTGACTCAAAAAACCCCAAATATATCTCCCTTTATCCAAAACTGAAGCTAAATTACCTCCTCTACCTCACAGAGCTTTTGGGTAAATTGAAACCAGTGAGCGGTGGACACATCCAGACCTTTGGGAGGATCAGTTTTTGAAGTGACATAGAAGGCAGCTGTAGCTCCATAGCACTCTCATCTGCAGGCAGCATACCCAATTACACAGTTACCAAGAGGCAGGCCATGGTAGGCACCATCACTTACCGAGTTAGGTCTCTGCTTTGCAGCACATTGTGTCAGAGCCTCTCTCTTCACACCTGACAGCCCCAAGGTTTTCTTAGTTTTTCTCTGGCTGTGTATGGTATTTCTCTAAATGCAGTGGTTGTCTTGAAGCAGTTTTATTCCTAAAGTAATATTATCTGTGTGGACAAGATTTATTCCTTCCCCCTCCCCCCCCCCCCCCCCCGCCATTTTCAGTGCATTTTCACTAGTTTGATAAGTGATCCCTGATGCTTGCCCACTTATTTCTGCTGTAATGTGAAACAGTCCTACTAACTTGCTCACTTCCACAGTTAATGAGATTTTTCCTCCCACCTCTCTGCATTACAAAAGCCTTCTCAGTTATCCAATTCGGAGCACAGTTTAAACATGTTTTCAGGGCCTTTCTCAATAGTTTCTTTTTCTCTACCTAATAAATATACAGGGTCCTGAAGGAACACCAGGAAATCCAGGTCAGAGGGGCCGTTTAGGAAAGAAGGTAATATTTTTCATCTTCCCCACTTCCCTTCCTTCTATCTGAAACTCGAATTCATATTACAAAATAATTCCATTGAACCAAGTCGATCCCTGTTTTATGTCACACTTCAAGCCAATTTTCTTTCTTGCTAGCCATAGCAATTAGAATTGTCATCATTCTGCAGTCAATAACATTCAGGACGTTAGGAAATTCAAATTTGTATCAGAGCAGTTTCTGCTGCTTTCAAAAAATGTTAAGCTTTGGCTAAAACAAACAAACAAAAAGGCAGGCTTTAGCAGAGGTTTTTTTCACTGCAGAGTTCTGGGTTCAGACATTCTAAGAACTACAGTAAATGGCATATGTAAATGTAATACTCCTGTTAAATAATGCTGTTACACACTTTGGTTAAGCATAAACCGCATTTTGAAACTTAGTATCAATCTCTCATTATTTTTAATACAATAACATCAATAGGGGGAAAAGGGGCAGCTTGGCCCTCCTGGAGAAATTGGACCTGCTGGTGACTCTGGCCAACCTGGAGAAACTGGTCCCAAAGGTGCAAGAGGAACTCGAGGTCCCTTGGTTTGTATAAAACATGCTTATTTAAGAGCTCACGTATTTCTGGTTTAGCAGAATCATGTCTCTCCGTGGGAAGAGACAAGTCACAGCTGTAGCACATATAAATATTTTTTGTGGTAGCTGGAGATGCAGGCAATGTCCTTCCCAGCCTGTGCATCCCAGTGAGTGCCCTGGTCCTTCAGCATCAGAATGAGACCTGTGCACCTTTCCAGACAGAAACCCGGGCCATGGACCTGGAGGGAGTCATCTCATGCTTTGGTCAGGTTCCTGATCTGACAATCAGAGGAGCAGGATGGCAGGGCATGCCATCATATATGAATATGGCATGAATATTCATGCCCCACAGTCTACATATAACCTCACTGCTGTGGCTGTTTCTTAAACCTTTCCAGTTCCAAGAACAGAAATCATGGAGTTTGCTATTACATACAATAAGCCTTAGCCATAGCTGAAACAAAGAATTTCAGATGAGGACTGCTGCTCCTATTGAATGGGAACCTGATCCAAAGTTAACTGAATTAAGTGTATTTTCATTAATTTTATGAGCTCCTCTCATCACAAGCTTCCCAAGCTTGCTCCACACTGTGTGATAGATGCACAGGTACATGCAGCCTCCACACTAGTGAGGCAGTGTGCCTATCTCACTGCTCCAGGGCCCAGTCCTGTGGCCACTGAATGCAGCACTGTGTCCCTGAAAACACGAAGTACAGAAGTAAAGTAACTATCTAATGGCCAATATTTTAAAGAGAAGGACTTGAACTCGTCTTCCTAAGGTGAGGACCACCCTCAGCTTCTCCTGGCATACTTAGCATTTATAAACAGAGTTCCTCCGCACCTCCGAAAGCTCAGATCCTTTTGATCTTAATTATGCACAGGGATTAGAAGGTTAGGACTGAAAAGGTTGACCATTGTTTCCACAGAACAGGGGAAAGTCCAGTATTCGTTACCAAATGAAGTTGGACCTAACAAGGACGTTGTTTGTAGTTCTCAAATCTCAATATTTGAAGATTTTTCCAAGTGGTAACTTTATAAAGTATACATGGTTGTAACATTTTACAAGGGAGCTATTTTTCTATCACTAACTATTGCATTTAACAGGGACATCTAGGAGAAATGGGACCTGAAGGAGAGTCAGGAATTCCAGGTTATGGGGTGAGTTTTTTACTGAATTCATATACACACACATCCCTAAGGTAAGTCTGTGGTACTCTAAATAATTTCAAATATCATGGGGTTCTGTATCTAGAATACACAAATATCTTTAGAAGTGTCAGATACTCACGTATATTTATATGACACCTGATTGCCTACTCTGAAACGTTAGCCTTAAGCAATGATGACTGTTTTTTTGTGAGTTCACTAGCAGTTGTTTTTTACCACAGATTTGAAACGTTTGTTTGTCCAATGCATCCTACTCCTTGTGAATAAAGTTCTTATAAAACTACTACAGCCATTCATTATAAAGAGAGTTCAGCAAACACCATCACCTCTGCTTACTGTCTGGTCAGGCAGTTTCTCTTTCAATAACAGAAACACTAATTGAATGAGGTTAGTTGAAGGACTGGAAGATATTGTGACTTTCACTGAAAAATAATTGTGATCATAATCATAGATGGATCGAGTCCTGCTCTTGCAGACCAGACTGCCATGTCTTTTTTCCAAACAGAAACTTCCATCAGTGGCCCTAACCCTGAAGTGAGAACCAGCCCAGCTCCCCTCACCTGCATCAAGCCCTGCCAGAACCTTTGGCTTCCCACTGTGCACAGAGCTGGGCCCATTAATTTTGTGCCATGTCACTATTTAGCTTTATTAGCAAGCAGCAAAAATAGTAATTAAAAAAAAAAGTAACAAGGAGCTAAAAGAAAGCTTGGAATTAATTATTTCTTTAATTATTTGTTTCGGAACTAATTTTTGTTTTGTTTGCTTCTTTAGGGTCACCAGGGTCCTCCAGGGCCCCCAGGGCCCCCAGGACTCAAAGGAGAAAAGGTCTGAAGATGGATTATACTGTCTTACAGTTTGAGTAATTATAAAGGGAGGAAATGTTACTGCATGCTCACTGTTTTCCAAAGCATGCAGCAAAAGCCACTGTTTCCAATATTTATTAGTATTGTGAGAGAATATGAAAAGAAATGCAAAACTGGGGAAACGGATCATTCAGAGGCAGAGTTCCGAATTATGCAGTTGAAATGTTTCTGCTTTTAAAACACAAGGTAGCCATTGTAAGAAACACATTCTATTGTATCAGATAGCACTGCTGCCCTTAGTGAGCACTGCTGACAGAAATAATCAGTGTGGAACCAGTTAAGTATTTTTTTAGCTTTAAGCCTGTAAGTACACCCACAGACTTTGCTGAAAGTCCAACTAAGATGGACAAAGGTCTGTGCTTAATATAAAATGTTAGGGGCAGGATCTTGCCTCAGTGCTGCTATTTTAGTGTCAGATTCACTGTTTTTCTTCTAAGCCTCAAATCCTGCAAACAGATTTGTATGCTGACTGAAGTCTGTGTGACCCCAAGCAGGTACAGGGATTCCCTTCATGAAGACTAGTTTGGAATTACACCTGACAGGGAAATATGTTCTTATATTAGGGCCAGTTTTGCAGTGAATACTGTTAATAGGCAATTAGTGGTGATGTTATAAATAGGTTCTGATATAATTTCAGAAACAATAACTGAAAACTTAAATTGGTGGGAGCTAGGTGACTAGCTTGCTTGTCACTTCTGAAAAAGCACTTTGATGCACTTTGGAAACCCTTAATCATATTTAAAATGTGAGCCTCTCCATTAAATATTGGTAAATATCATCTGGAATAGATAACTTTTTGTCTATTAGTTTGGATGGCAGTTGTTTCATATTTAATATTTAATAGAGTTCAGGCTGATTGTTGGAGTCTTCTGTACGCTTGTTTGTCTATATTAAGTATATTTCTCAAAAGAGTGGAAGAAATTTTCTTTTTTCCTCTTGTCAAATATCCTGTTTATCCTTTTTTTCATTAAATGAAGAAATGAGTACATGGACATTGTTCAAATACTTTTTTTTTTTTTTTTATAGTTGCCCTTGCAAGTAGAGCAAATAGTTAGGTTTGTTTGATCCTAAATGTCTTTAAGACATTTAGGTGCGTGTTAAAATGGAGTTACCATTTCTACTGTATTAAAACCATAAGCATCATATTCACTTCAAGCATCTATACAGCAGTGTGCTCTCTGGGTGTTTATTAGTATTTTAACATGTATGCATTGTAGACAAAGTTGAATTTCCAAGTTAATATTTTTAATACTTATCTTTGTTTTTAGGGTTACCCAGGTGAAGACAATACAGTTCCTGGACCACCTGGGCCCATAGGTGAACCAGTAGGTCTTTCTTTCTCAAAAAAATTATATTAGTGCCTCTCAAGACAAGAGACAATGCAGGCTCTTTCTGAAAATTGGTATCAGTGTCTCAGGAGCCAGTACACCCTTGTACAAAAAATGTAGAATGATGGTCCTTTAATCGGTAATCCCTCTCAGAAAAATGCAGTCATGTGCTCTTTCTTGCTTAAGGGTATGTGCCCTGTGTTTAATTACGCTAATGCCATTAGTCTGTGTTTAGACCAGCACATTTTGGAACAGCATTTTACCCTCTGTGTTTATCCTGAATTATACCTAATTGCTTCACTAACCAGAAATATGTTTTGACTTATTTCATTATCACTACAAAGCTAATTTAGCTGATTCAGAGAGAGCTGCCTCTTTTGTAACCATTTTTTTACTAAATTCGTATGTGGGGTATCTCTCTACAGCAATTATGAACATGTCCAAAAAAAATGCCATCTCAAAATCTTATTAAAAGTGTTTCATGTTCAGGCTTTGATTGTGCCAGAAATAATACTTGTACAGCCTAATTCTCTTAAGATTAATCTTAATATTTATACCTCACCTCCTCAAAAGGCAGGACTATAAGACCCTGATGTAACTGAAGACAGAGTCTGGACTAGGTTCTTAACTTAATTAAGGAAATGCATGAGAGAAGAGACTCCAGCCAATTCTGCTGTAGCCGAACTGGCTCTGTAATGCTGACTGCTCAAACGTTGCAAACAGGGCCTTTCCACCTTGTAGATTCCCTCTAGGAAACATGCCATGAAGCTGCCAAAACCTTGGAGAGTATACAAGCTGTTGCATAATAGTATTTATTGGTGGATATGCACTAGAAGTGACTAATCTGTTCATTTGTGAACTTGTAAAGATACACTGCAGTTAGTGATGCCTGGCCAGTTTTTCATTATGTGCCTTTACTTGAGACGTAGGTGGGGAAAAAGGCAGTCCGTTATTATTTCACCTAATGATTGGCTGGATGTCTTTTGGGAAGTCTTGGCTGTTCTTACTTTCTATGATTTCCTATCCCATCATTTTTCCTTTGACTAAGATTTGGTCCATTTGCTGCAATGACAGTTAAAATTCTGGGGAAAAATCCCATTTCTTACGGGACTAGAGCAAGGGCCTTTCCTGAAGTAGAGCCAGTGAGGTGTCTGAATGCAGCAGGAAGAACGTGACACTCAAAAATCATGCCATTCCCTCTGAACCTGTGCAGTTCTCATATGTGTGAGATATGCAGAGGGATTGAAATTGCCTTTTTATTAGGACGAACTTCAAAATTAAAGCAGATTCTGAGTGCAGCAAGTCATTCCTGAACAGAACTCCAATCTTCATGTGTTGTCTTACAGAAACCATAAGAGAGTTTTCCTCACATGTCTTGAAAACAGTCTCTTTGTTTATTCATGGAGAGTTTTAATTCAGATATCAGGGAGATAGATATATACACACATATGGGTATAAACCTGGAGAAGTTCTACTGAGATCAATACTCCTGTTTCATCTATGCCCATGTAAGATCTATCTTTTGGCTTCTAGTCTTCAGTTACAACATATTTTAGACAGTGTCTACTGTCTGACTGCAATGCATTTTGTTTAGAAGAAAATCATGTTTATTCCTTTAGATGAGATAACTTGAATATTTGTAATCCTCAGTTCCATCTCGTTGGTTAGTCTGTTTGGAGAGAAATCCCAGCTTTTTTTTTGTACTTTACTGCAGCATTATTTCAGTTCAGCTGCTATATTTTGCTCTTTGGTTTTCTCTCTAGGGTCCTAGTGGTGAACGTGGAGATAGAGGAGAACCTGGTGATGAGGGCTACCAGGTAATACCTCTTGCTTTTTATTCTTTTTGTTTGAACATTGCATGCTATGCATACATGTAACGTAGCAGAAGTATCATCTTCTCTCGCAAGTGTGCATAGATGCACTTGCTGATGCCTCGCTGCACTGATGAGCTCTTAGAACACATTGCAGCATCTTTCATAGGAGAAGTTGAGAGAGCAGGGACTCATGAGCTGGAGAAGAGAAGGCTTGGGTGATCTTAATGTGTATAAATACCTGACAGGAGGGAATGAAGATGAAGGAGCCAGACTCGTCTCAGTAGTGTCCAGTGACAGGACAAGAAACAATGGGCACAAACTGAAACACATTAAATTCCTTTTGAACACAAGAAAATGGTTTTTTACTGTGAGGATGACTGAGGACCAGAACAGGCTGCCCAGAAAGGTTGTGGAGTCTCAATCCTTGGAAATACTCAAAACCTGACTGGACATGGTCCTGGACAACCTTTTCCACCTGGCCTTGCTTGAGAAGGGGGGTTGCACTAGATGATCTCAAGAAGTCCCTTTCAACATAAACAATTCTGTGATTCTGTAATACTGAATGAATTATCATTTTTCTCTGAAATTTAAGCGCTATTTCTTTGTAAATCTAATCCTAATAATTATTCATTAATTGTATTCAGTCTTTCAGCAAATACAAATTGTATGGTAACTCATGCTAATCACTGATGCAGTTGGCTTGCTGAAATACAAAAGAGACAGTCCTTGACATGGTATATCCTGTTTAAGTTACACAGATAATACAGATAGACACAGTAATAAATCAATGAACTAAATATGATCTGTGCTCACAGAAGTGCAGAAATGTTTAAACAATATGTAATTCCCACTTGCAGTTTGGAGTAGAGAATTTAAAGAAGAAAATCTTCCTAAGGTCTGATCTCAGGAGAGCTGAGCATAGTTTATCTAGGTCATGTCAATAAAGCTGGGGCCACTCAGCAACTCCCAAGATGGGCTTTGCAAGGAAATCTATACCTCACTGAGCATGATATCCTGAATTACTTGTATTGCAATATGTTATATTTTCTGCTTTCCAGGGTCATATAGGTCTTCCAGGGCTTAGAGGACCTATTGGACAACAGGGGCCTCCAGTAAGTGCTTCAAACAAGTGAGATTTCTCTATTGGGTGTTGAAAATGCATTTTCATCTGCATTCAAATGATTTTTTTTTTGATTTATTTAATATATGTTCTTTCCAAAGGGAGAGCCAGGTGAATTGGGAGAGCAAGGACCAAAAGGAGAAAGAGGTTCAGAAGTAAGTAGAATGAAGTAAAGCAAAACTGCACTTAATTGGGATTTGTATGTTCACTGACTATCCTTGGAAAACTGTTATATATGGCTAAAACTCAGTGTTTGGGTTTCCCTTTCATACCTGCAGGGATAACAAAAATACAGAATGGAAAATTGCATAATGATCTGGGATAGTAAATATGTGTTATTTGATACATAAGTCGTTTTACTTTGAGTGATACAAAGCATTATGAGAGGCTCTTTTGGAAACATTTGAGTGATATTCAATTATACCCTTAAATGGAGTTCCTTGTGGCAAACTAGCCCTGGAAGACACCCAGGATTTTACGGCTCTGATCTGTAAATGAAGCCTCCTGGTACTGCACTGCACTGATTTTTCAGAGAGACCTTGCTACAGAATAGTAGAGGGATAATGACAGAGCAAGTCATGAAAAAGATCAAAGACTGTATCTTTTCATTTAGAAATAATAGTTCATCTTAGTGGTGTGTTGAAAACTTCCAAAAGTATTTCATATTCTCCCATGGGCTGACTTTCATTCGCTTTTGAGATTTCAAAAGATTTAGGCTAAAAGATTTCTTACAATACCAATTACCATTGCAACTTAAATGAGATATTTTGTCTGAGAAGTTCCATAGCACAACTCTGTTAGAGTTTCAAAATTTTCTGCATAAATACAAGAATCTGTAGTAGATTAGGAATGGGGAGCAGGAGACAGGAAACATGATGTGAAGATATTGTAAGCATGTACACTAACCATGAGCTCAGATATATTGCCTTTGACAAACTACTCGCAGCACAGGATAAAATCAGTCATTCCTCTGTCTTTCCCTTGGAAAATGTTTTCTTTGTGTTGCAAATGCCCCTCAGATTAAAACTGCCATTTGCAAATATGGAACCAATATCCAGCCTGGAGCAACCCATAAGACCCTAAAGGTTTATGCAAAAACATTTAATTGTGAAAACATTCATACAGGCTTAGCTCCAGTGGCATGACTGGTGCTGCTATAGCAAGCCTTACAAAGCTAATCTCATAAACTGCAATGCTGAATCATCTGGGTTTACTTTATATGCATTCAGAAATTTTAATGAAAACAATATAATAAAGTTCTTTGAATATACATGTGCCAGTTCTGATTGGTGGACTTTTTTATGCCTTTCTTAACAAAAAGACACTAAATTAAGGAATAGAACAAAATTTTGCTGATTTTATCATATTAACATTAATTATAAAAAATTTACCCTTACAATGACCTTAGCTTTTTCACTTTATTGCATGTTATGTAATATTGCAGCATAGTAGTTTAGCATCACTTTTGCTTTAAGAACAGTGTTTAAAATAATTAATCCAGAAAATCTTGGAAGCCTTTTTCTACTTGATCTGAGTGGTTTTATCTTTTAGAGGTAGGATAAAATTCATGCCATAGATCTTTATATTCTGTGAAGAATATCCTATAAACAAAGTTCTCCGAGATGCTTTTGACCCATTCTGAGCTTTTCTTCCTTGATGCTTCGCCTCCTGTGTAACTCACAAGAATGTTATCTACTATCAGTATCACTCAGTTTTCTAAGACTACAGATTCCCAGATCAGTCAAGATAAAAAAAAAAGTCTGGTTTCAAGTAAATTTTATCTTTTGTATACATCTTAGATAAAAAGAATGTTCCCTTATGTGACACTATTGTTTTCTAGCATTCTCTTCCACATGCACTCAGTGCATCTGCTTTGCCTGCTTTTCATGACTTCCCTTTTTAAAGATATGGGAAGTGCTGTAAAAGCATACTTCCTTACAGAGGTGTGGCTGATAGAGGAGAAATTGCCAGCTTCATAGTGAAAAACTTTATGCCTATTGTTGTTGAAAAAGTTCTGAAAACTACACTTTACCAATTTGGGAAAGGGAAAAATATACAACTCTACCAAAAATGTATTCACTTCTACTTGAAAAACTTTCTGCTGTCTCCTGAAATGGAAACAATCTGGTCCAAAGCCAGGCAATGTGAACATGCGTACTAGAGGGGAACAATTCTCAGCTCTTTTTAGGGGATTGAGTTTAAGACATTTGTCAGTTCACAAATATTTGTAACTTCTAGGGACCCACAGGGAAGAAAGGAGCAACGGGTCAGGCAGGCAAACCTGGAATTCCTGTAAGTAACAAAATTATACAGTCTACCTTCAGGTTATAAAACAAAGAAAATAGTAAATAATACAACCAAAATTGAGTTGTGCCCGTGGTACCAGAAAGTCTTACGCTCGCTCTAAAGAACCTTCTTATTATCCAGGAAGTGTAAAGGAACCCCTGTGAAAATAAGAATAATTTTTGAAACTCTTAAATTATACTGAATTATACTCAGTTGCTCAGCACATGGAAGTGAAGTGCAGCTACTATAACAGCAAGGTCCTTCCCACTTGTAGAGTTACTTAATTAGATCATTTCTGCATGTGGCTCATAGTCCATGTGCAAGTTATCACATTATATTGCACAGACCTGTACTACTGTTCACACCTGGCTCCCATCAGTTCTTTGAACAGCTGCAGCCTACAGAAGCCTGGATCCATGTGTCCATGATGGATACAGCTGGCAGATCCCTTGAGGTTTACTTCTTTCTCTCGCTTGCCCTGAGTTGAAATTTTTAATGCTCTTCCTTGAGTCACTGTAGAGACGCTAACTTGCATCCCTTTCTCCCTGAGGGAGAAGAAAGAGCAGGAAGCAATAGGTGGTCTGTAAACATAACCAAGAACAAAATGCATCAAGATTATTTTGGTCCCCTAATAAATAATACCACACAAGCACATACTGTAAATAACTTTTACTACCTTACATCAAAACATTGTCAGTAGCCAGAGAAATGCAGCTGCTTCACAGAGCTTGTACCTGCTGGGCAGAGTGCAAGAATAGCCTTTTGAAGGCAAGCAAACTGTGTGTCTTTTGTAAATACTTGGCTCTTCCCTCTGGAGGACTGCAGAGAGTGTATCGTTCGGCAGACAAAGGAAAAGAGGGAAAGACAAGGTATACAGTGAGGAGGAAAAGACAGTAAAACTGGTACTTGAGGAATTGTCAAAGAACATCCCAAGTGCAAGATACTTCAGCAAGCAGAAGTTAGAAATAAGATTAAGACGGCACACTACTTATATTCTGTGTGGCTGTTGTTAACTATACTTTTTCAAATGAGATGTGTTGTAGTTAGCATATTTTAAATTTCTAAGAAATGCACTCGTACAGAGATAATTGCAGAACTCCAAGCCCCTTAAGACAGTGTATGTCAGTCTAAAGGGAAATGATTGTAAAGAAAGAAATCACTGTTCCTTTGGTGGATGTGACATGAGGCTTTTCTGTGCAAGTATTGCAACAGTTAGCACAAACTTGTCTAATTAGAAGTTTGTATGTATATTTGTATGTATATTTGATATGTACAAATTTCAACAGCATAATTTTGCAAATGTACCTAGTAAAATAAAGGCTGAAAAGACATAATGGTTGGGTTTTTTACAGGGATAAATAAATTACTTTATTAGGTTTCCTTGCTTCAATTTAAGAATGAACACTCTCAGCCATCTTCCAGGCCTGGCATACAGAGGGGTCGGCCCCATGGGTTCAGGTGAAGTTGCTCAGAGCCCACAACGCAGCAAGTCTAAGGTTAATCCAACAGCATTTTAAACCAAACATCCTAACTCAGAGCCCCCTCTGCGAGTATTCATCCATGTCACTGGGTCTGTTATTATGTAGGGTTTAAGAAATACTGTAACTGAAATCTAGTTCTGTAATGGTGAAGATGAAGAGAGCCAACAGTGCTATATTTGGTTTGAATTTGTTTCAAGGGAAAGCCAGGGCCAGCAGGCCAGAAAGGAGCAGTTGGGTACCCTGGACCAGAAGGCAATCCTGGCCCCGGGCAAG